AGGGAAAGTGAATGGTAAGCCCTTGAGGTCATCACGGTTGAAATTGAGAACTGGTTGTGGAGGCTTAGGTATTCCACCCTGCATGGAGAGTGATGTCAATGCCATATTCAATATAGCTGAAAGATTCATTTTCTGTATCACAATATGAAGAGGTCAACTTACCAAATATTGAAGAATTAAAGGAAGCGCCATGGTAGGATCAACATTCCCAACAATCACTACTGTGAAAGTGGAAGGATCTGTAAAACAACTATTGAAGTATTCACAAGCTTTCAATGGATCAATTTTTCGGAGGTCACTTATCCGTATAGGCTGCACATAGAAACGTGAATTAGAAGCAGCTACATATCTAGTAGGAAATATATAGTCGTCAAAATAATGAAGAGAAGATACCCTAAAGAAATAAGAATTTCCGTAATTGATTTCCTTCACCCGGTTTGCAAAGACAGTGTAAGGGTCCCTTTCTTGGGCACAAACTGCTTCTTCTGCCATTTGCATTACTAATCTAACCTCTTCTTCTTGAGGCTTTACGTTTGTAGTAAAAAGTTGATAAACAAGCTGCAAAAGAAACAGCAAAAATTTACATAGATGTGCACAAGTCGTTGAAGGTAATATGTTCCAGTTTGTCATTCAGGTCAGATATTTCGTGTCACCACTTGATGTTATTGGATAGGTATAAATCGAGTAGGTTGATCAACAGACAGTTATTCCATCATTCAAAAAATAATAAAGCCAATATAAAACCCCGAACAAAACTACGGAGGGGTTAAAGAAGCCTGAATTGTGTTTCCACCGAAAAAAAAAACTACTAAAACTTTTAGAGAAAGGTTAAACTTGTATGCATAAGCAGAGAGGCAAACCTGCAAAGCAGTTTCAAGGTCTGTAGGTGAACAATCACAAGAGAAAGTTCTCATATATGCCCCAAGTTTTGTGCCAACTTCAACTCTCTTACCAGCAAGCATGTCCATAAGCACTGATGGTCTGTAACCAAACATACCAATTTCACCAGCAATGGTTGATCCCATTGAACAGGAGATATAATCGCTTTCAGGGAGTTCGGATAATCCTCCATATGAGAACCCTGTGAAAAGGATCTGTCGAAAACAGAAACCAAAGGAGAATTATAAAATCATGTGAATATTGGGTAGAAGAAGCAGACTTGGAGGCTAAATCATTGCCACTATACAATGTATACATAGACTCCCGCTTATACGGAGAATACCGGACTATTATAGCTTCAGGTGATAATGCACCTGATCGTCGAAGTAGTCAGTACACTTGTAGCAAACTTGCATTCCATTTGATAAAGTCAATTCTGTAGCCTCAACTTCAGGATATTCAAGCTGGTGAACAATATGCCTGCATTAAACATGTGTAAAGGCTGATATATAAGATACCAAAATCACATATACGTAACAGCGTTGTGCCCACTTTTAGTCCCACAAGACTGCCATTTGGTCCAGTAAAAGAGTTTCAAGAGCATCAAGATATTCCACCTAGATCAGTCAGCCTCTCAGAATAAACAGAAACTACCAATAGCATAAGAGATAGAAGCATAAATATTGGAAACCTATATTATTGGGCCAAAGTTCTTTCAATCATAGCATAAACAAAACCGCAAACTGAAATGAAGAGTTTCCTAGTGATATACGGGTGAAATTGTTTTGATGATTATTGACAAGAAGTTCCAAATCTTACCCTGGATCCGGCTTCACACTGACGATTTCTTCTGGAATGTGTTCATCATCCCATGGAGCAATCTTCTTTTCCTCCTCAAGTCTGGTGATCTTTGCAACAACATTTCTCAGATCATCAATTGTGGCAGAAGATCTAGGCTCAATTATCTTTATGACACAACCACATGATGTTCTTAACTTCTCAGCATACTTGGATACATCTGATGCCAATATTTCTGGACTACACAAGAACTATAGGTCACGAATACATATTTATATATAATGACAACTTGACTTGGACCAAAATTATAAACAGACAGTGTATGCTCTTACGGGGTAAAAGAGTCTTCTGAAGTTGTGCCTCAAATTCAATCCCAATAACAGGTTCCTTGTGAAGGAAATGCTACAAGATGAGACACAACCATTAGAAAGTATTCTGCATGGGAAAAGGCACAAGCTGGACACTAGAATACATTATACTGTACCTGTATATATTCATCTCGCAAACTAGTAGACTGGACTTGATCGCGTTCTAGATAAGCTGATTCAATCTCTGACATTATAAGTGCTCGAACAATAGATATTTCACGTTCTGAGAATCCATGAAGGCGTACCCTAGCAATCTAAAACAAAATGAGGTCGATGAAATCGTGGGGAGAGAATGAAAGGGGGGGGGAGAGAGAGAGAGAGAGAGAGGGACAAAATAAACCTCAAGAAGCATCGACTCTAGGGATACCAAGGCCCCTTTCTCTTTACAAGAAGAACTCATAATATAGGCCTTCAATGGGCTCACTAGAACATCAGCAGCAGCAGAGCAGGAGAAAAATGGCGGGTCCTTCTTACGTGATAATTTGAAGAATCTCTGATTAAGAGCATGTAAAAACATGGATTCTGCAAGCATATCCCTGTAATCTTTCACCGTCTTCAGGTCATTCACTGGCATCTTATAGCTAATCATTACTGCAGACTACAAACCATGGGAAAAAAAAGGGTTAAAGATCCCAGAAGTTGACGCAAGAGAGTATATTGGAAGAAGTTTTGAGCAGTAAAAATAGACTAACCCCAGCTGCTTCTGATTCAACAAAGCAAGAAAATCGTGTTTCTTCATGAGAAGGAATAGGAAATACTGGTATCTCCAGAAACTTGCTCCTTGATGTTTTACCCTCAAAATGCATCTTTATCAAATCAACTACTGTCTGGAAAGAAAACAAAAGAAGGATTACAAACGCGATCTGGCCATCAACAACACGATTATAATAAGAATACCCACTGCAAAGCAACAAAAGTAATACCAGTTTAGAGAACATAGTACCTTAGTATCTGAAAAATCCCCAACGACTATGACTGCCATATTGCACAAATGGTACCACTTCTGGTAAAAATGCTTTACAGTTTCAGCGGGAACAGACCGAATTACTTTTTCCAACCCAATAGGCAAACGTTCAGCATACTGCAAACAACCTAAATATTTTAGAATGCATTTTTGAGTCTTTAAGCTGCATAAATATAAATAACAAATAATAAACCTCAGACCTTTGTGCCTGCCATCATCAGCTGCCAATGTGCATCTTGCAGCCTTCCACTGGCATTCCGGGTTCCTCTAAACTCTTCCAATACAGCCCCTCTTTCTTTTTCCAAATCTTCCCTTGAGACTCGAACCTAAACAGACCGAGTAAAAGATATTATATGAATGAGAAACATAAACGCTACTTTTATAAAGGAGGTTTGACAGATATTATTATTATTACTTCAGAGCTAAATTCTGCTAAAATGGAAATAGCCTGAGATAGCAATTCAGGCTTGTCAATGGGTACAAACAACTCGTATATGGTCTCGTCAGCCGTCGTCATTGCATTCTGACAAGGGCCAAACTCTGCTCCAATGCTCTCTAAAAATTTGACGATATCATGATTTGTATATCTCTTTGTGGCACTAAATGCAAGATGCTCAACAATATGAGCTACTCCACGTTCATCCTCCTCTTCCAAAACTGAACTGCCAATAGTCCAATACGTCAGTGACGTTTCAAAGCATTATACGAAACAGCACAAACAATACATTCCATCAATTGGCAGCATCCCCAGTATGTAATTCAACAGAATCTTGTCCAATCCACATTGATCAGATTCATAGTTCACAGAATCGTGGCCGACTACTACTGCAGATACGCGTACATGCATTTTCAAATTTCAGAGATGTTCACCGAAATAACATCAAATTCAATAAAAAAATGGACACGAAGAAGAAGGTGGCAGAAACACAATGGGAGAAGAACGTCAAATTAAATCGATTCGAAATTAGAACGAAAAACCCTAAACCCAGCAGAGAAATTCAAGATCAAGAAGTCTTGATTCAACAATGAAACACAAGTTAAAAACCAGATGATCAAGGATGATGTCAAAATTCGAAAATGGAAGAAGAATACCCGACTTTGACGGCGAGAGCGAGAGCGGCTCTCATTCTGGGTTTGGAGTTGCAGCGGACATAGTAGACGAGGCCATTGTCGAGTCTTCCATAGTCAACACCAAAGGGCTCCTCGCCAAGCTCTTGCTCCAAGTCCACGCTCACCAGCTTCAGCGACCTGAACCGTTTCTTCGCTATCTTCGAGCTCTCTCCCGCTATCAAATCCATCTCCCTCTCTCTCCCCTTCTCTCGCTAATTCTCCCAATTTCTTCTCACCGAAGAGGGAGAGAGAGAGTCGAAATGGAGAGCACGAAGACAACGCATCGGTCGACTTTTTTTTTCTCCTCTTTTTGTCTCTTAAAGGAATCGGTTCTGTTCCGGTCCGACCGGTAAGTGAATTTCGGAAGGGAACAATAAACCGGTAAACCGGGAACAACAAGTAGATAGAAAATTGGAAGTGATCGATCCGCAGAACATGAACAAGCTGTTAAAAGCACCGAAGAAGAAGCTCTACAACTCGATGAATTGTCCGCTTCCGACAAACTAATACAGACTAAAATATACTTAATGAAAGGTCAGAGATTCTGGTCTAATCCATTACAAAAGCTTTTGGTCAAACCTTAGACACTGTTTTGATTACCTCGGAGACACTTTCTCTGCGACCAGCTTGATCTCTCTGATCCTTTCCTCTACCAATTCCTTCAGTTGCTGTTCTTGATCGGTTTGGTTCTTCTCTGTCTGAATATTACTACCGGTTTCCCCTCCACCGCCGAGTGACTTGAACATGACAAATGATGATTCGGGGTCGTACGAGCTAGTAACATCTACCACTTGTTTCCCTGGAGTTTCCAAATCTTTTCCAAGCACATCCGCCCTCACATGGTTGGCGATGATCATGGTGTAATCCTCCATGTACTTGTCTATTGGGTCCAGAGCAAGATATATCAGAATCTCCCAGCAATTGAGGAACTGTTTCTTGTTTATCTTCAGGCTTTCCCGGACTTTCTCTATCGCACTCGGAGGCGGGATGAACCGTGGGACTTGGGCTTTCTTCGAGATCTTTCCCTGTGTTAGCGTTTGGACGGCCGAATCAATGGCTGGTTTGATTGGATCAAAACCAATCAGACGGTTTATGTCAATGCAAGTGCGTATATGTTGGAAGTTTTCAGATGGCTCTTCCACTGTCAGGTCATAAAAGTTTTCTGCAACCGCTACATTGTTCACTGCCTCCACGAGGAAGCTACCATATCCTTTTTGTTGACAGGTCGGCAACACCAAGATCTACATAAACAAAACAAAGAATCTGTGTAAGGTCTCACTAAAAAGATTAAGTGAAGGAGATTTGAGATGGATGAGACTGTGTATACTTGGCTGAGTCGCATCCTTGACCTGTCAGGATAACGGTAAAATCTATAAACAGCCGAAAAGCCTACAAGTCGATACAAACACTCCTCCTTTTCCTCTTTCTTGTGAATTAAGAGATACAACTGCCAGTCAGGATCAGTGACATCAATCGGGCTGCTGCCTGTAAACAAGCAACTTGTTAGAATTTAAATTTGGTGTATAAGAGTACGAGCAAGAATGGATAAAAAAGAAATGAAATCCCTCTAGGGAAAGAACGGATGGTTACCATCAATGAAAAGAAGAACAAGGGGTACAAGTCGGCTATAAAGTAGTCCAGCATTTGACGAGTCAATTGACATCCGGACAACCTGGTCCGAAAAACAAACATCTTATTTGGTTTCAATGACTCCTCTCGGATAAAAGAAAGAACCAATGCCTAGAAGACCAATTTAAAATAACCAATAATAATACGACCGTATTAAACTAAAGCACAAGTTCCCCGTAACTTGCACCCAAATTTAGTGTTGTATACCATTAAAACCATCGAGAGTAACTACGTTGGTGCCACCAGAATCAAGCAATGAATTCGATACATGAAGAGACAGACAGTTTACAAAGGTTACCTCAAGATCAGAAGGAGGCACTCCAGAAATATTGTTCAAACGATCAGTACTTCCATTTATTGCTTTCAGTTGCAATATCTCTCCTCTCGAGACAATTTTTCTAAAAAACAATGAAACATGCAAGCCGATAACCAGAAATCATTAAGCAAAAGCCTCATGAATAAAATACAGTACATGGTTCAGGAAGAATGAAACATTCAACAGAAGGCACCTCATAAAATCTCTCTCTGTTGAAAAGGTTTGCAGAAACTCATCTTTACTATCAACAAGAGTCTCGCCAAATATTTTCTGTGATACATCAAGTAATCAATCAGAAAAGGGTTCTCAGAGCAATAGACGAGACAGAGCATCAGTGGATGAATACCTGCAGAGCGGATTTGAGGTCTGTAACGCCTTTGGCTCCCTTAAAAATTAACAAAACATAATATGTTAATAAGAAAAAAACAAAGACAATTCACTGGTGATGCCAGAAGGCTGATAATCATAACAAAAAAGAACTATCTTCACCACACAAGAGATGGCGAGTGAACCAGCACTTACATTGGATGCGCTCTGGTATGTGATATCAGCATATGCACAAAATGAGATGCTATTGATCCATACATTTATCTGAGAAAATATTTTGATTGAAAGAATGTGACATGTCAAAACCCCAAAGATGTAGAAAATAAGATATCTAGGAAAGGCCAAAATACAATCTGAAGTGTTGTATAACCTTCAAGCCTTGGTAACCATATATCTTGCCTTCTTCATCAAAGAAACTATTCAAGTCAACAGGGTTCAGGCAGCTAATTTCAGGGGAACCCACTTCCTCTTTGCTGGAAGCTAGAACATGACACATTGAGAAAGGTCAGTTCAGGGCACAAAATAAAGAAGAGCTAGCTGATGGATGAATTCTGCGACTCAACCATCTCACTAACAGCTTTGGATATAATATATGTTCTACATAGTACATAGTAACAATAAAGAACCTCAATATGAAATCAATTCTGAAAATGAGTAAAGCAGGACGTTGCATATATAGTAGTTGGGGGAAATTTATAACGAGCCATCTACTGTCATTCTTCCTACGAAAATTGTAGGCACTACCCACACTATCCCATAAAAGAAGGAGAAAACGTACATGATATCCATCAATCAGTTCTAACTACTAAATCTCACTGATAAAGCGACAACATGGAGAACTCTCAAGTTTCGGGGAAACCAAAAAGGAAATGTGCAAGTACCAAACCGCGGTTACGCAGGAAAATGAAAACCCCAAAAGATAAACGCCAAACCATCAACAAGAGATACGCACCGAGATAAATTTTGATGCACTCATTGGCCTCCACACCAGCGTCTGAAAAACCGGAAACAATTCAGAGGTTATAAAATGCGAAATCGAAACTAAACAAGAGACAATGGAGAACGAAGAAAGCGTGACAACCAGCAGAAGAAAGAGCTGAGTAGACTCACCGGCAGGGGAGAATCCGACGCGACGACGCTTCTTAGACTCGACGACAGGATCGGCGGAAGGTGGCTGTTTCTGAACCATGGGTTCTCCGGCGAGGTAGGGTTCGGGAGAGCGGGAAAATGGAGACAAAGGCGGGAAAATTGGAGTGATATGAGAAATGAAATGCCCAAGGGTTCAGGTTAGGGCACTTTATGCAGTAGCCAGAAAGAGGTCGACGGAGGTATAGACGGCCACGTGCACCGCGCGTGGTTCTCAAATTGAGAGATTAATATAATATTTTAAAAACTGAATACCAAGGGCGTTTGGTCTAGTGGTATGATTCTCGCTTTGGGTGCGAGAGGTCCCGAGTTCGATTCTCGGAACGCCCCAATTTATATTTTTTTTTCAAGTACGTCCAACAAAACCCCGTTATTTGCAGAAAAGGACTAAACTTTAATAATCATCCTCTAACCCCCCATTTTCAACAAAACCAGTGACCACAAGAACATAATGCAAGTTCAAACATTGATCCTCATTATTATTCCAAAGCTCATTACGTCTTAATAAGTAAGCTCAACACAAACCCGAAAGATCGCAACATAATAAGTCCATAATCTCCGCAATAACAATTTTGGCACGGATGAGTCTTCAAATCATAATATATAGTTCAGTACATTCGTCTGCATATAGTGATCCCATCACCTAAAGGAGCATGCGAGATCTGCACACGCTGGTCCTCAGAGAGTCTCTGGTTCAGCTGGAGGGTTGACCCTCTGCCTTCCCTGCTCCACTCCGGAGTAGAGGCCTCAGGGATTGCCACTGATCCTCCCCAGAGTGTATTATCATACACTATTATCCCACCGACCTTGACGAGTTTCAGCAGTCTCTCATGGTAGTTCCAGTAATTCACCTTGTCTGCGTCCACGAATGCATAATCAAACCCTCCCTTGTTTGCTTCCTGCACAAGAAAAAGATAATGAAAAAAGCATGTACACCCATTTTAGGATGGGGGTAAAGGGTATGTTTTTTGAGTAATGTGGATAACGGGGAAGCCGTAAACTCGGAGGAGAAGATCGGGTGAGAGAGGAAATGCGAAAAAGGTTGTGGCTTTACATTGTTTAGAAGTTCATCGAGAACTGGAAGAGCCTCCGATTCTCTGAAATCGATTTTGTGTTCAACGCTGGATTTCTTTATAACCGGCAATCCAAGGTCATAAGCTTCTTTGTTCATATCAATGGCAATAATCTGAAGAAAAAAACCCTCATACGATTCAGCGAGAGCAAGAAACTGGTCAAGCTTACAGACTTCACATACATACCTTGCCATCCTCTGGAATGGTAAGAGCGGTGAGAAGAAGAGAGTATCCAGTGAAAACCCCGATCTCGATCGTCTTCCTTGCATTTACCAGATTGAGCAACATGCTCATTAACTGACCTGCATCCGGTGCAGTAGCCATGATGGCTCTTGAAAAGGGAAAAAAAAAAGAGCAAAGTCAGACACCAAAAACAAGAGTTTAAAATACAGAATCCCAGTGTACTTCAGTATGAGAAGTTTCCTACTTGGGGTGGCCATAAGTGAGGCTCCTAAGCTCCTTGAGAGGCTCTGGCTCACGAGGATACACACTAGTCTCCAGTATATACTGAAACATTGGCATGAAATCAAGGCAAGAGAAACATAAGCAATGACAGAAATCCTAAATTCAGACAAAACTGTTGACTGTGTTTATGCAGACATTATAGAGGGCTTCACTCTGCAGCAATCCCTTGCAAGAACTTGAAACCTTGCCCTCGTTCTTCTCCATTAGACCACAGTTCAGTTCTTCAGATGCTGACAGAGATCTGATCAACGAAGAAGACAAAGTTAAAGACCCATAAAATTCTGAGATCAAAGAGGACCCATAAGAGATGATGCAGAAAACAGCAATCCGTTCTGATTTCTGGGTTTTCTCGAAATCAACTTCTCTCGTTTCCGAGAAAAAAGCCCTAATCGAAGGGTAAAATCACTAGATCGAATAAAAATCATCTGAGAAACATGTCCACGAGACAGATCATGTAAATGCAAATCGACAAGAGCCATATTTCGACGATAACGTGGCAGAAGATGAATCTGTACGTTACAAGACAATACAGCGAAAAACATTCACGTTGAAATCAGAGATTGTAGAGAGAGATTACCAACAGGTATGAAAACGGCGTAGATTCCGACTCCTCTGCCTTTGGACTCGGCTTTTATCCGTATTCTCAAAACGTTTTCAATGATGAAGAATGCGTTGACGTGATAATTTTAAGATTTTCTTTCCAAAAGTATCGAAACAGAGAGAGAGAGAGAGAGGTGATGTCACTTTCTCATGTAGAAAGATTACAAAACTCAGATATTGTTTACCTTAATTAGATTGATTGGTTCATCTGATACAAACTAAAAAAAACACAATAATCTTAATAATACAACGAACTTGTAATAATCTGAATTGACCTGAACAAGACAAATAAGCTACCTGTCATTGTCAGTGCTAGTGTTCATCCTCTCTCTCTCTGTACCGAATCAGCTTGAAGCTGACCATTCACATTGATCAAACACAGAGAGAAGAAAGAGTTCCGTCAAAAGCCATTATGTTGTGGACAAATATTATTAAAGCTTTGTGCTGAAGATCCGGAAAATTAGTTTAAAAAAAAACAAACTTTGCTTCTTAAAGTCAGCCGTGAGATCAAGTTGGCCAATTTATAACACAAGGGCTTTTGGGGGTTCAATGGTTTGGACTGGCATATATGTTTGCATGGTAGGGTTGCTTCTCAAGGGTAGTAGCCAGTGAAAGTGAAGCCCCTTCCGACAATCTCACCTGCACAGAACCAAGCAAAGCATTCCAGACCAAACAGTGCAGCAATTCCAGCGTCTTCAACCTTCAGATCCGCCCGGTTCTTCCACAAGTTCTTCACCTGACCGAGTTCTTTCCAGAATGCCTCATATCTTCCCGGAATACTGTGATCAATCATTAACTCGTGCAAGTCAGTGACAAACATAGGGTGAAGGAAAAGGATTGCAATTTCTACAGGTCGAATTGAGATGGCACGCATAGAATATTAAGACAAAAATGACATTCAACAGTATGCCTGTCCAGCCACGTGTAAACCCCAAACAAAAAAAAAATACTTTCGTGTACATGTTATGGTGCAAATGGCTTCACAAAGATGGAGCATTTTCCATGGGATAGGTTCAGCTTCAGAACCCACCAAAACTAGAATGTCTACCTTTATGGTTCCTTAGAAAAAGAACACCATGTTTGATGCCAAATCATGCAGTCGAATTCTCCTTTTTCCCCAAAGAGGCGCTCTTGAACTACATGACAACTAACAATATTGAGATGCTTCTGAAACTGTCCAAGTAAAATGAAATTGACAGCATAATTACTGTAACACCATTGTTGAAATGAACACAATCAACACAAAAACCATGTGACTGCTACAATTCAGAATACCCAGCTACAATTAACACGAATAAAAGAACAGGAAAGCATTCATAATAAACAGAGGTGGAAAAAACGAATGCAGGACTATGCTAGACCGAGAAATGCAAACAAAATTTACCCACCAAGAGAAAGACTTGGTCATTGCTGGAAATTCGGCAACGACCCAGTTCGTTTTGAAACACAAATCAATGGAATCCAGATTCAGATAGATGGTAGATGGAAAAACAACCTAGCAAGACGGGTGTAGAGAAGCTGCTTAGACAACTCAGTGCATTTCTCCGCAGAGGCTGGCTCCTGTATATACTGCTTGTTCTGCTCCAGCAACTGCTTGTAATATGCTGCACCGTGCTGGGATACAAATTTTGATGCTTGGCAAGCCTTAGATTGGAATTGTCTTAACTTCGAAGCCATCCCTCAAACTAAGCTCTGAGAAACAAAGAACAGAAAAGAAAAACCATTACACCATACCCCATTCAGCTCATTATCGTTGGAACAAATTCATCAGAATAACAACAGAAATGAATCCATTATCTCCACATGTATAGAAAACTCAGACACAGAGATACACATTGCAGAGAAGCGAATTTCAGTGCAAAGACAGAAGGACCAGCCAGCAACTGGATTACAAATATGTCGATCCAAAAATCGAAATCAACCTAAACGAGCCCTAAATTGCGAAACTAAGATCAACCTAAATGCGCAAAAAGTTCTGAAAATAGGACTACAATCGACACATGATTCGATCAAATTCCGCAGAGAAGCGAGCGACTCAAAAACACAGATCTGAAAGCCAAAACCAGATGGAAACTATAATCCACACGCAAAAATCTCGAGAATGGTCACCTTCCAGTGACGAAGATTAGTCGCCGTGTATGGAGAGAGGGTGCCGTTGGATCACAGGGACAAGTTTTGCTCTGTTCTGCGTGAGGTTTTGTTTCCGTCTTTTCTCCCAAGGGGTAAAACCGGGAAGAGCCAAAAGTTTGAGGGTCATTTCGATTTGGGCTTGTTTGGGCTTAAATGGGCTCAATAATCAAATATATTCTTGGAAAGCCCATATAAGTTAATATACAAATATGGGCTTACATGGGCACAATCATCAATGGTCCGCCAAGAAGTTGAGGAGGTGAGCCGTTGGTTCGAGTTTTTATTTATTTTCCAAAAAGAGAGATATTTAATACTTTTTTTAGATTAAATAAATAAATAAATATTTAGGGTGAGAGAACAAAACAAGGACGAAATTTGCAGAACGTTTCACACCTACGTCTCCAATCTCCACCGACAAATTAACCCTAATAATGATCACACATGTATTATAATATATTACACACCCTAAGACCCATGCAACATATATGTGTGCGTGTGTGTGTATATATTTGGTTAGTCAAATTTGTTTGCGTTAAAGATGAATTATTATTATTTTCCCTAATCGATGATATCTAATAATGCGCTGAGATATCGTATTATAATGTGATTAGCTAGATTGTGATCGGTCGACGGACCATATCACATGAGATTGCTATTTTCTTTTTCTTGGTATTTTTTAAAAAAATATCCTTATATAAAGTTGACAAATATGCTACAATCATATGCATAGCCGAAAAAAAGGTTATGTGATGATAGTACGGACTTTTAGCAATCTATACTTTTATAGATTCATTATGGGATATTTGAAAGCAAAATCACGGAAAAAACGCTTAATACTCTCCTAAAGAATATCTCGATTTTAAATTGATTTTGTTGTTTTTACATTTATTTAATATTCAAATCATTTAATTTACAAATATATCTAATTATTTATTATCCGATCTGATTTGGTTATTTTGAATACAAAACACAAATACATAGAATTTCATGTAATAAAAGTTCTATGATTATAACCCGTAATTCTTGCTCTTTTTAAGATTTCGTGTCTATGCATACATACGCTGATGCAAGCAAAAAATAATATGTAATGATTGAGAGTTTTAGATTAGTGCCATTTCCATATATACACATATGCTTTTAGGCGGGTGCGTATATATGTGTGTATATGTGTGTATACATGTCACACAACGCTCATGCATCACGATGATTCTGACATGACTGAGGCTAATTAATCAAAACGTGGACCCCAAACCATACATATATACATAGTTTCATGGCTCACGCAATAACTCCCATTACAACACATACATATATACATTGATGACATATATACATATATATGTGTGTATATGAGTGTGTGTATTATCCAAATATTTATTTACATCAAAGTTAAAGGTTTTTGAATTACCAAAAAAAAAAAGTTAGAGGTTTTTGAGTTGGTATAACCATTCTGCAAACCAGAACGTAACAAAATTATGGGGCCCACAGATGAGAAAGCGGACTATAGGATATGTGATTTGTCATCACACGTGGCACACGATCAGAAGACAGCGTGAGCCTCGTGGATGCAGATCTAACGGCTGAGGTTTACCCAGTTGGCATTTGACCTTTGACCATCGGAAAAGAAAAAGCAACATGGTGGAAGATCCCGACTCCTGCAATCACACGTGTGTTATGTGTTATTGAAATGGTAGGTTTTATAGATAGGGGTTATTATTTTTTTACAAATGATTTATTGATTCTATGTAATTTTCACTCTACGAGTTAACAAATATTTTTTTTATAATTTTATCTTTTTAAATAAAAATATGTTGATATTATAAATAATTATGTCTAAGGAGAATATGTATGAGTACATGTTTTTATTCGTTTCTGTAAAATTTAGTAATTCAGTTTGATAGATACGTAAAACATTAGACACATTTGTATTACCCAAAAACTGTATTCATTATTCAATATAAACCTAACTATATAGCGATGGTGAAAACAGAGGTTTGCGTGATGAATTATAGATTGATTTCAAATGCAAAATTTATATCGATGTCTTGTATATATTTTACAGAAATACGACTATACATTAATTACATATAGTAGTGGATCTACGATTTTTTTAATTGGAAATACGCTTGACAATTTGGTTAGAGGAATTTCCACGAATATATATATATATATAAATGATACCGATTGTGCTTGCCAAGTCAAATAAATATGGACGGGGATACATATGGACATATATGAAAAGTCAAAAAGTAATGGAGTATATACATAGACTTTGAGCGTGTAGGACAAAAAAAAACATTAAGCGTCAAATCGGTGATTAGTCAAATGGATTCTGCATGCTAAAGTCAAACAAGTTTCCTAAGTACAATTAGGTGAAGCTTTCGGAACCCTATATATATATATATATTATAACTTTCATTTTTGGCAGGATGTTAGTCAAGTGATTAAAATAATTATTCTTTTAGCTGTGTAAGTCTTGTATATATGTATAATCTAAAAATATTTATATTTCAGTCTATGTATGTCGTCCCAAAAGTGCATGGAATCATGGAATGATTGAAAAAACCGCAAGGAACTTATTACTTTCGAAATGAATTGCCATTTTTTTCTGTATAAAGTTTAGTCCGTATGAGTAAATTATACATGATATATATATAGGCATTATATCAAAAATACCCTTAAAATGCTACTTCTACTTCAACACATACCTTTGTGACCATGTGACCAATGTGACCGAAATATAGTGTGGTCACATATTGATCTCATTGTTCATAACGTTAAATTTATGATGTTTTAATCAAATGATTAGTAAGATATACAAGGTATAAACATAATGAATTAGTGTGATCACCATAAATTTAACGTTATAATCGATAAAAATCAAAATGTGACTATACTATATTTCGGTCACATTGGTCACATGTGACCAGGGTAGGTCTTGAAGTAGAAATAGCATTTTAAGGGTATTTTTGATAATGCCCCATATATATATATATATATATATATATATTAGGGTTCTTTTAGTTTAATCGACGAAGAGGTAAGACCCGACTTGGCCAATAAAAGGAAATATCACGGTGACCCTATCTTTGAAAATGAAATAAGTAATCGAGCAAAGAAAGAAAACCCGAGTTTGAAATGTCACAAGCTTATAAAGTATTTGAAAAAAACACCAAAGTCAATCTAATTATCTATTCGATGTCTATGATTCTGTTCTCTTTGTCCCATTTCAAACATTTGTTGAAATGTTTCGTTCTTTGCATGGATGCCAAAGGTCCTCTAACTTATGTTGGGTGTTTATAAAGTCAACACAAATTGGCATAGACGTGTACGTGTGTGTATATATATTAAGCGTCAAGAGCTTGTATTATTTTAGCATTCAATTACCCATTTGTCGAAACTATTATATATATAGTTTTGAGCAAATGGGAAAGTATATATATATATATATATATATATATATATATACATGTTTTCATCCGATTGATGTTGACAAGGGCATGTTTCATATTCAAATAAGCTACCGAACAAAAGGTTATCAATTTCGCATTGTTTAAGCTTTTAAATCACTCCATAAAACTTACTTAAGTAGATTCATATATTAATTTATATATAGGACAAGACGTTGTTTATCATCTTTCCCAATATATGCATGTGTGTTTTGTGAGTAACATGCCATCGCCTTATCTAGTTTCTCTTCTTGTTACCCGATCTCATCCGAGTCAAGAGAGTCGGTTTTGCTTTTATGCAACAATATATACATATATATATATATGTATATAAATTAAATCACACCGTACCGTGATGAAGAAATAGTGTGAAAAGGGAAGGAGAAAATAATAATGAATCCCTTTTCTTTTCTTGCTGGAGTTGTACGGTGACCAAGTCAAAAAGATACGACCACACAAACAACACGTCATAGAAATAACAATAACACTTTGACACATACATCAATATATATATATATATAACAACAAAAACATTACAAATCAACAACCTTCACCATTTAAAAAAAAAAGAGAGAGAAATAGCATTAACTTGCTTGTCTGAAAGCAAGAAAACAATCACATCACACACATATACGTGTGTATACAATAAAGTGACATATACATGATGTATATATATTTTCAAAACGAGAAACAAACCAAAACCCGTCACCAGAAATCGGGTTCCAGTGACTATGCTTCTCCCAAAAAAAAATTGAATTTTTTAATGAATAATGTGACCAGAAAATTTAATTTCACTCTTGATCGGTGTAATCGTTAGAACCTTCTCCGTTGGTCCATGAACTCTTGTATTCTCTTCAAAGCCACGTCCAGCGTCTTCTCACTCATGTTGGCAAAACAAACCCTAAACCAACCCGGTTCGGAGCAGTGACACGACGAACCGGGAGAGATATTAAGCTTCAATCCTTTCAAAATCACATCCCACAGATCCAATTCACCACCTTTTGTATTGTTCTTCAACAACGGACTCATATTCACCCAACAGAACAGCCCCGCGTTTCCATTCAAACACTCGATTCCGGCTTTCTTCAATCCCTCCACCATCATTTCGTACCGTGTCCTAAGCCTTTCTCGATTGATCCTCACGTACTTTTCGGCGAATTCCTCGTTCGACAACATGGACGCCAACATGTGTTGCGTCTGAGACGAGACGAGAGTGAAACTCGACATCCTTCTCGCTGTCCTAACGACGTTGTCGTTGTAAGAATATATAGTTCCTACTCGAAAACCTGGAAGACCCAGATCCTTAGAGAGGCTGTACACTATGTGGACACGTTCTCGGACCGACTCGTCCCGGTTCTCGATGATCTCGGTCACACTGGTGAATTCCTCGGCGTGAAAGACCGAGCCGGAATAGATTTCGTCCGAGACGAGGTGAATGTTCTTGCGGACGCAAAAGTCGAGGAGATTTTCAAGAACCTTCCTTTGGACCGTAGCTCCTAAAGGGTTGGAAGGGTTCGTTATGAGTACGCCTCGGACTCTAGTGTTCATGGCTCGTGCCTCCTCGAACGCTGATTCAAGCGCTTCTGGGGTTATCTGGAAATTGTTAGAGCTGTGGCAGTGGATCGGCATTATTCTCACTCCAGTTCTCCATCTCAAGTCTCTATCGAATCTGCAAAATATACAGCAAACAACACGACCATTATTATTTCTATACGTGCATGGAAGCTCTAATATATATATATATATATATATATATTGGTAACATACCCTGGGTAATAGGGCGTGGGGACGAGCAAAGCGTCGCCGGGATTGGCCAAAATGAACGTCAAGAGCTCGTTGGCTGCGGTGGCGCCGGCCGTGAGGACGATCCTCTCCGGATCGAATTTTACTCTCTTACCGCGAATCTGCTCCATGAAACTGGCCATGGCCTGTCTGAATGATTTCAGACCGTGATAGTCTTGAAACAAAGCGTTTTCACGGAACCCGTAAGATCCTTTTCCCCACGTCAGAGAACCTTCTGGATTCTTCTTCTCCAAGTAACCTTCCAACAGATCGAACGAAACCTGTTCCAACACACAAGAGTTATGACACGGACAACGTTAACTGTCACTGCCCTCTGTCCTGAAATCGATGATTATTCGATTTGGTTTCGAACGGGATGATAATTCTATTCTACCTGATTCTCCGCAAGACCCATCTGGATAACGCCGGAGGGGTTGTGAGATTCTTCGTACGGATCTTCGTCGTACGCTTTCCAGCCGGCGAAGTACGGAGAATCTTCTCCGTGAGTGTCGGAAACTGCCATTTTCGACAACTCCACCGATGAGTTGTTCGGTCTCTCGATAGGTGCGCCCATTTTTTTCAGACAGAGAGCCAAGTATCAAACCCTATTGTCTTCTTCTTCTCCGAGCAAGAATGATTTGCCCAGAGATATATGTATATGTGTATATATAGGTGGAGAGAGAGAGATATATAATTCTAGAGAGAGAGAGAGAGAGAATGGTGTTGTGGAGTGCAACTTTTGTGTCAAAGGCACGAAGTATATATAGCAGTCGTGACGGAGGGGAAAGTCTTTGACAATTTCGACTTGCACATTTTTATAATATACTTCCTTTTTTTTTCATTTATAATAAAGAACTGTAATGATTCTGATATTTATTAATGTAGTGGAAACCCCGTCAACTGGTTTTGCGGATGCGACATTACACAACTAACATACTCCAAATAAATCAATCCTAATAATTTCAATATTTTTACACCCCGTTTCATACACACACGCGCACAAACTATATATACATATATGCACGTGTGTATTGTATATTGGATATGCCCATGTAATATATAGTTTTTGTTTCATATACAACAAGTTATATTTGTAAATTGACTTTTTATTTACCGTACTCCCAACACTGGTATTTGGTTCTCTTCGGATATATAAATTTATTTGCATTTAATAAACATATTGTAGAAAAATAAATAAGCAGATAATAAAATTAATAACCTTGTGAGGAAATGATCGGAATTAAATATTTATTGGGCAACAGAAGAAAAAACTGGAAAAAAAAAAATAGGAACCAACATAAAATGATTGATTTGATGTTGTAAGCAAAATCAAATTTAGCCTTTTAGGAGGATCAGAGTTATCCCTTCGGACAACTGGGAGTTCGTGTCTTCTTCTGAAATATTTTCTTTTATTTTTTTTTAAATTTATAGACCAAAATACGGTGGTTGAATTCTGAATATGGGCGGAGTGGGTGGATCAGCATTCATATTAATACATTATAGTGATACATATACAAAACTATAATATATTGCAAATTAGTAAAAAAAATATTTTCGACGTATTATTGAATATATATACACACACAGGCACTAGTTTGTGTTTTCAAAGCGTTAATTATATCCCTATGAGGCATTAACATGCTTAATGGCGGTACGGTTTAATCGTAATTTTCGCTCTAAACATGCATCAACTTCTCTAATTATAAAATCGGAAAAACATGCACGAGCATTAAAACGAAAATTTATATTTTGAAATCAATAATGCTAAGGCATATACAACCACTTATGAGTGATATATAAAATATAATGTAGTTACATGTTTTTAAGCATTTACATGTTATTGGGAATAATATAAGTGCACATGACCCAATATGTCGTGGACGAGTGGTCAAAATATGGGTGACTTTCACCTTTAGATTGAGTGTTAGATTCCTGATTAGTGGAGAGAAAGGTAATTTTTGGGTTACGTAGTTTGTATACAAATGGTGTTCCCGTATCGAAGATTTACATAGTTAGCGCGTCCGAATGGTAGCAATTATATATATATATATATATATATAAGTGAACACACGATTGTTAAAATATATATATGTGTATATATATATATATATATTATGTTATGAAACAAAAGATCGAAAAAAGATATCGGGAGATCTAATAGTGGTTATAACTCCGATTATGTGACAAAGATTCCAATCATCATACAAGATTTCGATTCTGATACGTGAAAAATATGTTATCCATAGTATAACCAGTTATTTGAGAATCTACGTGTGACCCCACTAATTCTTTTGTGAAATTAAAATTAAAACATAACTGATTTGTATATGGACCAACATCATCAATTTCTCGCTTCATAAAGTTTGTGATATTTTTGGACCGGTAACGACGAGAATAATAGTAAATATACGTGAACCGTGTTGTTATATTCTAAAAATGATATTTATCTGATGTATATAACAAAAACACTGAATATAAAGTCAAAATATATTTTTTGAAATAATAAGTTTCAACTGATGAAGACGGCTGCTAATATATATATATATATATATGGGTCACACAACATGTACAATGTTGTCTTTTTTTTTTCAACATACGGTAGTAATTAACAATAATATGTACATGTGTGAAAAATATGTTTTGTTGAGTCTTGATGGACGTATTAAACATTGTCCGAGAATGTGAATATCGTTGATATATATGTTCTTAAAACCATTATAATTAACTTCAAAAAAAAATCTATATATTGATTTCAAACGTTTGACCACTTCTCGAATATTAGATACGTAGTAATTTCATTGAAAACAACATTCCAACTAAATAGATCGGTCCATATATGTGTATCCTTGGGGGATTTTATGTGAACCAAGGAATAAAATTGCTATATATATATATATATATATATATATATATATGTATGGTCATCATCATGGCCACATGTAATGGTTAAAGATTTTGTGCCAAGATTTTATGTCTATATGTTTGGACTATGAACAACTGACCAAGGGCACAAACCCGCGTTACACTAGGATAAATAATAATAATAAATTAATTAAAAAAATAAATCAATTTAATCACGAGATAAGGAGAATATATAACATCAGAATATTTACTTGCATGTATTCATGTGTGCGTTTACATGCATGAATGTACACATATTAATGAACAAGAAAATATAATTAATTTGATTAGCATGTGAATGGAGCGAGCCCCCACCAGCTTAAGATTCGGAGATCACTCCGTAGATTGCATCACAAATCACGGCATACAAAAGACCGAAATTAAACCAAGGTATATACAACTTTTATTTTGCATTAGTAAATATATATTGAACACATGAAATATTATACATATTAAAACCCAAACACACCATTACAATAAACTCGATTATACATGTATTTTCGACTGTTCTAATTATTTTCATCAATAAATGTGAATTTTCTTCTTTCCTCTGAAATTGGTTATGATGTGATTCGGATATATTCGAGTTATCTCGAGATAAAATCTACTAGGAGTATCAAACGAGTCAGCTCGTCTCGACTTGTGAAATTGTGATGAGTTGGCTCGTTTTGAGTTCGTTTTCAAAAAAAATCTTATCTCAATTTGATTTGCCACTTTTTCGAATTAAATGAGTCGATTGGCAAGTTAGAAATAAATATAATATATTATATTTATATTATGAAAAGTATCAAATAAAATAATATTTTAATATGAGCTCGACGAACAACGCGCGAGTCATGACGAGTTGACTCGTTACATCGATTTCTTCCAATACAATGCGATAGATTTGATAGAAAATCATGCTGGATTATGTTTTGTACCTACGGAGACAAATACGATTATATATATATATATATGTATATATACATAGCTGTGGCGGAACAGTCAATTAATGAATTGTTTTACATGGTGTGTACGATGTTCAATGGACATGGAATCAAACTTCGTCACATATTTTGATTCGCATAAAAGCATTAGGGTTTTCGCTATTTCTAAGCGTATAGGGCGAGTTTCCGTATCTTACAGACCAATCAACAATCATGGATGTATATCTTTTTAAATATATATATATATATATATATATATATCTTTTTAAATATATATATATATAATATATATATATATATATATATTATTCAATTTTCAGAAAACATGCAAGTTGGAATTATAACGTGAAAGTGAGTGGCGACTAATTATAAGGAGCTTCTAATCTAAAATACAAGACCGATCGACTTCAAACGCAATGATCATTCGCACATCGTTTAAGATCTTGGATATACATATATATGCAGTAAACGATAGGCGAATTGATACATGTATATGTAATACGTGTGTGTGTGTGTATATATATATATACCAATTTTGTTCCAGAACAATTAGTCGAATTTATGGTAATGCATGCCATTCATTAGTACTGATTAATTGGTCATTTAGACAGGGTTTCCAATAAATTAGGAATGTGGATATATTGTATTATACGCAATGGATATTAAAAAAACATTAAACAGTTGTATATACAACGAAAAAGAATATGATATGTCTTAATAAAAAATAATTTTTGTAATGTTTTATTTAAAAGATATAACTTTATTTAATGGATAATAATTTTAAGATATATATTTGAATGAAAAGATCTTGGATCTTGCTATATAAATCTCTTTATTTGTATAAATTAAATATACGTTTATATATATATATATCATATTACCACATGTGTTAGAATAAGATTATAACAAATATTTAAATGGATGCAAAAGATAATATATATAATATAATACAATATAATATAATTAATTTGGAATATTACAATTTAAATCTAGAACTTCTAAATAGTTCTATTGATGAGATAAGTACGATTGAATTGAAAATATTTTCTATTGGTGTGTGCCGTGGAATCTAAAATACATTAAAAACTTATTCTCGTAGACCTTTTTAAAGTTAAAATTATATCTAAAATAATGCTATAATTATGATATAGATGCGCTACGAAGTTGCATTTAGAGACACGCAATATTGGAATCATGCATTTTTTTGAAAAATATATTTAACTGAAATCATACAATTGAAAAGGCAAAAATAGAGCCGAAGGGGCAATCACGCATAATCATTGTGGACCAACTAAAGTGAGAAAATGATTTTGGTGATGATTTGATTTATAGAAAGTGATAAAAAAAAAAAAGGGTTACGATAAAATTCATATCTTCAATGCCGCAACATTTAGCCAATCATAATTTGCCACGTCAGATGCCATATGTCAGAGAGGCATTAACTAACTCAGCATCTTGTTTTGGGAAGTCCGAACTCCGACGTGGTCCGTAATCGTATCCTACCTCCAACCTAACCTTCTTCTCGTGGATCCTTTTATTTTTATTTGTTGGCGTTAACGACAAAGTAACCATGGAGAAAAATGTGAATCCAAATTCATATAACATATTTAAAACATATTATTTTGAGATGGAAATAAATATATATATTCTTTATTCCTACAATATATATTTTTGGCAAACTCCAATATTCACTTGATGTAATCTGTGGGTACTTACTCATTCGAGTTATTTATATTGTTCGATATTTGCACTGAATTCGAAAATTGTCGAACATCTCTCTCTCTCTATATATTTATTAGATATCATATATTCGGTTGCTCGTGACACTTTTTTTTTTGGTTATATATTTACGTTGATAATATATGTTACTCATACGCACTTGTATAATATTCACGAAGCCAAAACTTGCCTTTCCGCATCTTTTAGAGATCTTTTACGCAAACATAACAATTTGTGTGAATAATGACACGTACGCAAAAAAATGAATGGATGAATATTTATACAAATGTTGTATATTAATATAAAGTCTGTTTCAATTATCAACTTTAAATCGCAAAAAATATTATAATGTTCAATACATTATGAAAATTTGATCCATGTCGACGTTAATTGGGATAAGGTTTTAAATCATTAACGTATTTTTGTATAGTTTAACTTTAAAATATTACCCTTTTTATCCAATCAATAATATCAATAATATTTTTTCCAGTTGGTTGCCAACCGAGCTTGCAACAATTTCACTATCTCTTCCACACTAGCCATGTCAAAAGATAAACTACGTAATCTACACGTTAATATATATATATATATATATATATATATATATATATATTAGAGATTTAAATATAATATTAAAAATATTCCCATTGTATTAATTAATTATAGGAATTTTCTATTTTAGAAGCAAATACTGAGCTTAATCAGTATCATTGAAACAACTCTGGTCCCCAATCACTGAGGCAACTTCAGTTCGAACTATGTTGCAATGACAATTGTGTTTTTAAATATAACCATGAAATCAAATCAAAATTACGTTGTGTAAAATATATGTGAGATCGCGATCAAAACATGATTTATATATATAATCAAATCGGAGGAAATTGATTTTTTAACAAAGTAAATCAAGAACATACGAGTACCTCGAAATTCAAACACACATGGAGCAGTATGACAACTTGTAATAATATCTTATGATAAAAAAAAAATAAATAAATGTTAAGATGTTCCATCATCATAAAAAAAATGATTTCGATATATATGAAGCTTTAGTTTCGGACATGAGAGGTGAATTATCAGCCAACAACATAGCTTCCACGTGGACACTGATTTCCATGCCTTGAATCCATAAATCTAAAATAAAAACACATGCATAAGAAAATGGTCATATATATATATATATATATAAGAATTACGCGTATATATACAATTATACGTACCTACTCATATGCGAGTCTTTCTGCAGATGAAGCATGGGGTGGATCCATTCACAATTATTGCCTCGTGTGTAACTATTTTCTAGTGCTCAAGTTGCCTCATAAATCTTTTGGCATTCTATTTAAATATATATTTTTTCCGATTTTCTGTATATTGTTTTTTTTACTCAATTTTGGTTTTGCTAAAGTCACTATATATATGTACAGAATTAGGGTGGACCTAATAAATTATTATTGGAAATTAATAAAACGAATAAAAAAATATTTATTAATGTTAATAATTTAGATGGTCCATGTCATTATTATTATTTTTTCTATGGACCGACTAGAGATGAGAGATGGACCTATAAAACTTCACATAGGTCTACGATAAAGATAAATGGGCTTCCAATGGATACGTCCAATTCATATGGGCTCAAAAGAGGCCCAAATGTGACCCATTATTATGAATCATGACCGTTTATGTGTGTGTATATATAATTATATATTTTACTAATAAAGTTAAAATGTAATTTTGCGTAAAAATTTTACTTTAATATATGGCGAGATATAAATATACTTTTCAATACAGGAATGTTGGAATCGGTTAAATATATTTTAGTAAACATAAATATACTTCCGTAATTTCTTTTTTTTTTAACCAAAAAATATATTCTTCCCTGGTTTCTTCAAAACACAACGGGACACGGGGACAGAAAGGATCATATTTTGGACCTTTGACCACGAGTCCGTTCGCGAGTCACGTTACGGCTCCCGGCGTCTGTGGAGAAAACACCGGAGAGAGAGAGAGAGAGAGAGAGAGAGAGAACAAAAATCAGTTCCTTTTCCAGATAGGTCTTAGGAGAGAGAGAATTATCGGGAGAGGGAATCGCTTTGTATTAAAGCCAAGAAAAGCGAAATTTTTAGAGGGAGGAGAGAGAGAGAGGCCTTCGGAATCGGCGGTGCCAAAGCAACTGCGACGCCGGCGGAAGCGGAGGAGCTGGCGTTGTCGATGGCGGAGTCAAACGGTGCCGTTTCCGTCGACGCCGAGACGATCTATCTCGGCGGCAAGGTTCAGTCTTTTTAACTTCCCATTCCCTTTTCTCTATGTGGGTATCCGAAATTCGTCGGCTTTTTGCAAATATATGATACATGTTTATGGAATTTGGATATGATGCAAGTTCTGATTTCTTGTTTTCCCTAACTCGGGTTTCTGCTAAAAAAATGCTTAAGCAATTAGGGGAAATGTATGATTGGGTATTTGGTTTAGTGTTTGTCTGAACCAGAGGACAATGGATCTCCTTCCTTGGTTTCTTGAATTAGTTATGTGGAAGAAACGTTGGGTTTGTTGTTATGGTTGCTGTTCTAGCTGGGTTTAATTGGTTTCATTCATCTGTGCTTGTGAATACACATTTTCTCCGTTTCTTTACCAGGATGTTTATCTCAATTTACTGCAGTATAATCATGCAACCCATATTATTGTAGGGATTCATATGATTAAAAAGTCGTCTCCTTTAATTATCTAGATCTTCTGCAGATTGCAGAAACTCCCCTTTCCAGTTTTATGGTAGCTTCAATTTCGAATCTTCCATTTTTCTACTTCTCTTCTTCAAGCATCTTTCTTTTTAGTGGCGCTGTGGCAGATGATTCTGTCCCCAAATTGTCAGTTGATCAGGTTTAGAGAACGACATGTGAAAACCAATCAACTATGTGGGGATAATTCTTCTATGTTCTCGGGGGATATCTTCTCTGTATTCCTCATTCTTGTCTTATTGCCTTTTGATTCTATGTCAAATGTCCAGCTGTTTTTGTCTACTTTTAACCCTTTGTTTACAGGGCAATAAAATCTCACGAAATCAATATGTTTTTCTTCCTTTTTAATAACTGATATTCCATTTCCAAGCCGCTCTTTTGCACTGTCATTACTTTTTTTTTTAAAATTAAAAAACATAATGATTGGAATTAGGCTATTCTTTTGTTAGATTGATTACAGTAGAAGCTGCACATGGGAAGCCTGAAACTAGGAATTATTTTCTTAATTTCTTTCTTTTTCCATTCCACCAAAAGCAAGTTGTCATATACAGAGACAACTGAAACAGAGATTTGTGTGACTGAAGATAAACACATGAATAAGAAATTGGAAAATACTGTGGTATGGAGACAAGTAAATCTAGCAGTTTCAGCGTTTTCTTGTTAGTTGGTCTGTTTTTGTTACTGAAACTTGCTTCTTTCTTGTTTTCAGGAGCATCATGTGAACACAGGCTTTGGTCTTGTGTCTGTCATTGTCTGTGGAGACCGAGAGAAGCCGGCATTGATCACCTATCCCGATTTGGCCCTAAATCGTAAGTGTAAATACACCTTCATTGTTTTTTTCATTGTTTTTTTTTTCTGATTAATGCATGACTAAACTACAATGTATTTCGTTTCTTTGGCAAGTTCTTATGTTTCTTGCTTCTTGTCCAGACATGTCATGTTTCCAAGGATTATTCTTCTGCCCTGAAGCTGCTTCCTTGCTGCTACATAACTTCTGCATTTACCATATCAGTCCACCCGGGCATGAGGTCCGTATTTGGTTACCATTTTGAAACGGGTTTGATCTTTTTTATATTATTATTTCTGGGGTTTTCACGAAGAGCTCTTGCAGTTGGGAGCTGCTCCGATTTGTCCTAATGATTCCGTGCCATCTGCTGAAGGTTTAGCAGATCAGATCCTTGAAGTTCTCAACTATTTCGGGTAATGATGAAGCCTTATCTCTCGCTTCATGAAGTTTCAACCGAAAAGTTGTTCTGTCAGATCCTTGTATAGATAATATTGTCACGCTAACACTGCATATGCTTTCTTGTCCAGCCTTGGGGTAGTGATGTGTATGGGAGTGACTGCAGGAGCTTACATCCTCACCTTATTCGCTGTATGTTCCATTTCTTCATGATCTATCAAATTCAATTCATTTGTTCCGACAAATGGTATGTTTATCTGTTACAGTTGGAATTTACAGATGAAATACAGGGAACGGGTTCTTGGTTTGATACTTGTCTCACCTGTATGCAAGGCTCCGTCTTGGTCTGAATGGTTCTATAACAAGGTTCTTCTTTTGAAACTGTATCTAACTTCACAATCCGACACCATTGTTTTACTTTTACCCTTCCAGCCGACAGCTTTTCCGTTATATCTCTCATAGGTCGCCTCAAACTTGTTATATTTCTACGGTATGTGTGGAGTGGTGAAAGAATTTCTGCTTCAGAGATACTTCAGTAAGGTATTAATGTAGTACCCGTTGCACTATATCTGTATTTGTGCTAGTCTCTTCCATCTAAAGTTTAAATCTTTTCAACATTTCTTCTATTTTTGCGCCAGGAAGTCCGTGGTAACATGGAGGTTCCCGAGTCAGATATAGTGCAAGCATGCAGAAGAGTCGGTTTTTCTCCCATGTTTTTAGTACTCCATTTCTCTTGAAGATGCATCTTTATAATGCGTCCTGACTATGTGTTGGTCATGTTTCAGCTGCTTGATGAGAGGCAAAGCATAAACATCATGCGGTTTCTGCACGCGATTGATCGGTAGGTGCTAGGACTGAACCTTTTTCTTATGTGTTAGTCTTGGTTCTGTCATATGATTCTTTTGTCTTAATCTTTTTGTGAAAAACGACACGCGGCCATGCAGGAGACCAGACATCACGAGCGGACTGAAGAAACTAAAATGCAGGACTCTGGTATTCATCGGGGATCAATCTCCGTTCTACTCAGAAGCTGTTCATATGGCCGCCAATTTGGACAGGAGATATTGTGCCTTGGTCGAGGTTGAACGCCGCAACCGTTCACCCACAAAACATCTAATTTCACACTCGGGTTTCCTTCTTTTTTTGGCTGATGAAGATTGTTTTTTTTTTCAGGTTCAGGCATGTGGATCAATGGTGACAGAAGAGCAACCACATGCAATGCTGATACCAATGGAGTATTTCTTGATGGGGTATGGGTTATATAGACCGAGCTGTCTCACAGAAAGCCCCAGAAGCCCTCTTTGCCATTCTTGCATCTCCCCTGAGCTCCTCTCTCCTGAGAGCATGGGATTGAAGCTTAAGCCTATCAAAACCCGGGTTTCGGCTTAGTTGTTTGTTCTTTTGGTTTGATCCCAGTTTTCTGAATTCTTTCTAATCATTCTGTTCTTCATCTGTTTCTGATTCTCTGGGCATCATTTCTTAGGTCCTGTAGATAAAAGTGGTTAGGGAAAAAGCACATTCTTTTGTAGTCAGCCGTGAGAAAGGAGTCTTCTTTTTTGTTTAAGTGTTGGTGCTGTTTTATTTGTATGTGTAAATGTTCATGTAACATGTGATTCGTTATGTACTTCAAGTGAATGACATACATTTAATAATAAGTAAGTGGAATTCATATGAATCTGATGCTTTTCCCATATTTTAGTTTTCTTTTCAGTTTCCTTTGTAACTGTGTTCTAGTTTTATAATGGCAGAAGCAGAGAGAGCCAAAAGATTCGATTCGAAGGGCTTACCAGTTGTTGAAACCTTAGCTTGTACGAGAAGGTCCGAATCAGAAGCCAAACCTAAAGAAGAGAACCCAAGTTGATCGTCAAAAGCTTCTAACTTGCGCATTTAAACCTTATTTTCAGTTCCCTTTTTTGAAATTTCTTCTGCGAACATTCAACTTTCAGAAATAATATTCGGTAGGATATTATTCAACCGTCTCTCTCCCTCTGTCTCTCTGCCTCTTCCATGGCGGAGGACGGAGAGAAGAGCAGGACGGGTGTTCACTCGGGCGGAGTCGTTGACTCGATGCCCTTGTTCGTGAAGGAGCTTATTGCCGGCGGCGTCGCCGGAGGTATTGCGAAGACCGCCGTTGCTCCTCTCGAGCGTGTTAAGATCCTGTTCCAGGTACGCTTGTTTCTGGGTACTGTCTTGTTCTTTCAAAAGCGTGGAACTTTGATCCAATTTTTGGGCTTTTCTCTGGGTTAGGGTTTTTTCCTGATTCGGCGATTGGGCTTTAGATAAATTTGCAGTTCCTGGTGATTTGGGATCGAAACCGTTTGTTGCACAGAGAACTCTGGTTTGTTGTTGTTGTCTGCTTAATCGTTAATCCAAAACCACATCGACTCTGATCGATTGGCATGGAAAACCGTAGAGAAACCCTTTTTGCTATTCAGCTTACAGTTTCTTACATTGATCATTTTCAGACCAGAAGAGATGAGTTTAGAACCATAGGGCTTATAGGATCCATCAAGAAGATAGCCAACACGGAAGGGTTCATGGGTTTCTACAGGTAAGTCCTCTGAGATCATACTCAACTAGTTTTGAGCTCAGAGAAAGAATTTTTTGTGCACTTTTTTTCTTTGTTCATCCTTTGAGTTTTTGGTTTTCTTCTGATAAGAGGGAATGGCGCAAGTGTAGCTCGGATTGTTCCATATGCAGCCCTTCACTACATGGCGTATGAGGAATATCGTAGATGGATCATCTTTGGTTTTCCTGAAACAACCCGAGGCCCTCTTCTTGATCTCGTGGCTGGATCATTCGCTGGAGGCACCGCGGTTCTCTTCACCTATCCTCTTGATCTTGTCAGGACGAAATTGGCGTATCAGGTAGCGTTTCTTAACTGAAACAAAACCAGACATTACCACCTCTTCCATGTTCAAGTGTTGTCTGGTGAAGACATAGAAAGAAACCGAATCTCTTACATTACCTCCGTCGATTGAGAAACCAAAGCGAGCGAGAGAGCTCATGGGGACTTCAAACAGTGCAGGTTGTTAGTTCAACAAAGGTGCAAGCTAAAGGGGTAATTCCGATAGAACAGATGCTCTACAGAGGAATTCTTGATTGTTTCTCGAAGACATACAGAGAATCTGGATTGCGAGGCTTGTATCGTGGTGCTGGTACGTATGTATATATGTATATGTGTGTGGATGGATACATATGATAATGACACTGTCATATCGATTTTTCTGCCAAGACTAAGAAGATTGTTTTTGTGATAAGCTCCTTCACTGTATGGTATCTTCCCATACGCTGGTTTGAAGTTCTACTTCTACGAGGAGATGAAACGGCATGTTCCCATAGACCATAGGAAAGATATTTCTGTGAAACTCATCTGTGGATCAATTGCTGGGTTGATCGGACAGACCTTAACATACCCTCTTGATGTTGTCAGGAGACAAATGCAGGTGAGTTGCCCTGTTCTTGGACCCTTCTTCTTCATCTTTCAAGTAACTGAAGAAAAAAAAACCTAATGTCCACGCAGGTGGAAAGACTATCTGCTGCTGGTAGTCAAGACACAAGAGGAACAATGCAAACCCTTGTTAATATTGCTAAAGACCAAGGGTGGAAGCAGCTGTTCTCTGGCCTTAGCATCAATTACTTGAAGGCATGGCAATAAACTTCTTCTTGACTTGTCTTTTTGTTTACAGGGAGGGTTTGTCTGAGATTATGAACTCTTTTCTCTTCTGGGTTTTCCCAGGTTGTCCCGTCCGTGGCAATTGGATTCACGGTTTATGATGTCATGAAGTCATCTCTAAGAGTCCCGTCTCGAGAAGAAACCGAGACAGAGGTCATGACCCGGAAAAGAAACGTTCTTACCTGAATGTAAGATCTGTTGGATTACTTATTCTTATTCATTCCGTGTACGATCTCTCTATGATATTCGAGATTGTACACTCCACATTTCTTAGCAATTAGGTTGCATTCCTCTAAATAAAGATTGATGGGTAGGGGAAGAGGGCTTACACTGAAGCAGTGTAAGATGAAGTTCAGAACTTTATGTATATACTGAGTTTGAGCAATAAGAAGAAGCTCTTCCAGGTTCATGGTGGGTTTCCTCCTTTGTTTACGTTCTTCATTTCATTCCGACATCTCATCGAACACGAATCAGCGGAGGAACACTATTTCTTGTAGAATGCAAATACAGATGGTGCCCGTTACAGTTACAGTTCCAGTTCCATGGCTCAAATCCGCAATCCACAGTGAAAAAAGGTTTATACTTTCTGAGGCAGAGAGACGAAATCAGAGACTCAGATTATGTAATCTGACCATTCGGAGATGAAGGAGGTGTGATCCATGTTCTCGCCGGGACATTCCTCGTTGTGCACCGTCGGCTTCTCCTTCCCTCCGACGAGCCTCGCCGGGTTCCCAACCGCCGTCGTCCTCGGCGGCACGTCGATCAGCACCACCGACCCCGCGCCGATCTTTGCACCGGCCCCGATCTTCACGTTCCCGAGGATGGTTGCTCCGGCTCCGATCAGGACTCCATCGCCGATCTTCGGGTGCCTGTCACCGCACGCCTTGCCGGTTCCGCCGAGCGTCACGTGGTGGAGGATGGAGACGTTGTTTCCCACCACCGCCGTCTCTCCGATCACAACTCCGGTGGCGTGGTCGAGGAGTACCCCCTTCCCGATCTTCGCCGCCGGGTGGATATCGACGGAGAACACGTCGGAGATCCGCGACTGAAGAGCCAGAGCCAGTGGCTTCCGCGACTGCGTCCACAGCTTATGCGCGACCCGATGCGCCTGAGATTCAAAAAAAAATTCAAAAATATCCCCCAAAAAAAAAAAGAAAATCTGAAACGCAAACGATCGAAACAGAACCGGACGATGCAGACCCACCTGAATGGCCAAGAAACCTTTGTAGTTCAGGAGGCAATGAGAGAAGGAGACACACGCCGGGTCACGGACGCGAACGGCGCGAAGATCGGCAACGGTGGCGGCGCTCAGAGAGGGATCGGACGAGAAGGTGTTGAGGAAGAGATCGTAGAGAAGAGTGGAGAGAAGCGTGGAGGAGCAGAGCTTGTTCCCGAGATGGAACGACAGGGACCTCTCGAGCGACGAGTGGGAGAGAATCGTCGAGTAGAGGTAGCTCGCGAGCGCGGGCTCCGCCTCCGCGTCGCGGCGAGCCTCCGCCTTGATCTGCGTCCACAATCCCGCCGCCTCCGCCTCGGCCAACGCGGCCGCGGACGCTGCTTCGACGTCGGAAAACTGCTGATCCTTCGTCGGATTCGTCTGATGCATTTCTCCGGCCGGCGACATTTTCGTAGTGGATGATCGGACTGTCAATTTCGCGGCGGCGATCAGAAGCCGACTGTTCCACCAACCTGTGAACAATACAATGTTGAAGGCGTTGCCTTTCGATTCTCTTAAGTCCAGAAAAATCAGGATAAAAGTGTGCCACGTGGCGTGATAATAAAGAAACGAAATCGACACCGTTGGTTTTGCTTACTTTTAACGTTATTGATGTTGACTAAAATATTAACCGTTGGATTAATTTTATCCAGTGCGATCTGCTTCCTAGATCGACGGTCAATAAGCTGCCGCCGAATTCCAGAGAATCCAAAGAAGTATTATTATAAAGAGGCAGAAAAGGTTGATGCCCAAAAAATTAGTTTTAAAATCACGTGTGGGAATTTGATTCTATAAACAATTCAGACCGAAAAGGTTTTAAAAAAAAAATTATGGTATAACACAGTACAGAATATCGGGTAGGTTCATTCATCATTATAAAAATGCAATATATGTATAAATTATAACGAAAGAATTGAATTGATATTCCCTTTTTTTTTATATCATATACGACCCGATGACCATAGGTGTAGATCCTACACTCTCTCATAAACTCGAATAAATTTACAAAAATAAAGATTTGATTTGGTGAAGAAAGCTGACGAATTATGAATAGAAATGGAATCAGACAATCAAATATACAATAAACCTTTTCTGAATAATATATAATATAACACAATGTTGTGATATTCGGATACAAACAAACGTAATTTACATAGGGATATACATAACTTCTAATGCACAATATATATATATATATATACACGCATGCAATGCAAATCGAAAGAAATAGAACACAACTTCATATGTACAGTGGAATGATGAAAGATTAGTTAATATAAAATAGATTCAGACAGAATTATTTGTCTGAACAGAAATGGATTGCATGCTGCAATCATCAACTTCCACATCAGGTGAAGAAGAAGAAGAGCCGTTGCTGCAACTTCCTTTGTTATGTCTTCCTATGGCTTCTCTCAGTTTCCCGAACTGCAGACATTGCACGAGCTCAAGATTTATCACACGTGTGATTATATATTCAGTCTCATAACATAAGCTAATAATAATAAAGATTTTAAAATCTTATACAGATGATCAAACTTCCTTGTCTGAACATGAATTCTGAGAGGGAATCAAGATCAGATTCCACCAGCTCTATGATATTCACAAGACAAGTTCATCGAAAACACATTGAGAGAAGAACGGTACCTTGGCGAGCGAGCAGGAGAAGGATTCGATCTGGCCTTCGGCCCCGCGGTAAAAGTGGAAGTAAGGCAGTACCTTGACGTTCAAGCTTTTGCAAAGGGGCTTGTTCTCGTCAAAGTTAACTTTCAGGAACAAGATTTCCGGGTGTTCTTCCGCCGTTTTGCAGAGCTGGTGAGATATCACAAGGGGGAAAAATAAAAGATCAGCCAAAAAAAAAAGATATATGTGAATAAAGACAGCAGCTTTCAGTATGATCTGGCCTTGTTGATTCAAGATCTAATCGAGCTAACCCGCTTTCCATGGAAAATTCAATCCGGTTTTCAGAAGAAGATGCATTTCAACTGCAGGGTTTCAGATTTGCCGTGCCACCTCTAAGGGACTTGGCCAAGAAACGGTTCGATGGGATGGGAAATGGAGAAGACGAAATCGTTAAGTAGACGAGGAAGTTTACCTTTGGAAACAAAGCTCGGCAAGAAGCACACCAAGTTCCGTAAAAGTCGACAATGACTAACCGATCTCCCGCCTCTTTCAAAGCGTTTAGAAAATCTTCGGTAGAGTGAATGTCAATCATGTTTGGCCCTCCATTCTTCTCCCACCATTTCGGCTGCTCGGTTTCAGCAACAGCTGCTTGCACCTTAAGCAAAAATCCCCCACAATGCATACAAAGATTAAACCTTTTTCAGCTACGAATACACTTACAATAAGAAGTGGCAATATACATATATACACACACAACGAGAATCAACAAAGTATGCAAACCATTTTAGTAACGAAATGACATACTGAGCCGCTAATTGTTCAAGTATACAGAAGCAACCGACCATCAAATGAAACAATATTCCTCTAATTCAGACAAATTAGCCCCAACCAAGATGATACACAAAGCTATGTGCCCACGACTTAGAACTGGGACTTAAGAAGAAACCCCTCCATTGAGCCCAAAAAGGCTATGTAAAACATGAAGTCAATGCCACCATTGAAGAACCCTAGGTCTTAATCAATCGGCTTTCAGTACTCAGTCGCATAAGAATTCGGTAAATGGGTCATCAAAATATCACCCGAATTGTCGGGATTTCAGCAATAAACTTGAAAGCTTGCTTGAAAGTTGCAGAATTGAATGAATACCTGGACTGAAAGACGCGGCTTTCTTTGCGGGAAAACAGAATTTGCCATGCCGATAGAAGAAGAAGAGCCGGAAAGAGACAGATGGCAGAATCTGTTGGCCGAGCTCCGACAGGATCGGACGCCGATTTGCGGAGAAATCGAAGCCCATTCAGAGGAGGAGGAGGACAACAGCGAGAAACAAAACGATCGAAATGTTGTCGTCGATGATCGTATCACATCTGCCATGAATCGCACAAAAGGGGAAAAAAAGAAAAAGAAAAAGAAAAAGTTTTCCCCTTTGTTTGTTTCTCTCCTTCAAAATTTTCCCGGAAAATAGATTCCGTTTCTCTCACTCAGATCGTCGCTAAAGCCCTGGTTGGACTCATTTTTTTTTATTTCTTTCACCATCTTTTCATCACTACACCAAAAAAAATACTGTAATAATTTATTTTGGTTTAATAAAATAAAAATATTAATATTATGCCTTCCAATCAGAATGGATTTTTGGTGTTAATACATTGCTGCGTGTATTCAGAAAAGAAAAAGAAAAAAAGCCTTTTGTTTTCCTGCTGTGTCTTGAGTCATCATCGTCACCATCATTGCCCCATTGATGAAAAAACGTACCAACTCAATGTTGGGTCAACCCACAAAAAAAAAAAAATAAATATCATATAAAACAGCCCAACGGGAAAATCATTGATTATTTCTGTGTGCTATAAATTGGGAAATAAATAAATTTGTGATTTTTTTTTTCCAGTTTTGTTGCTTTCTTTACTAGAGAACTTGAACTCGTAGCATTATGCGACACAAATATGTTATCTTGAGGATCTTCACCTCCCTCCATTAAAATTTCTGTGCACTATATTTTCTTACGCGTAAGTCACATAACATATATTTTTATAAATAACTTTAAAAAAAATCAAATGACTGATCGACAGTTTAGAAACGATAGAACTGATTCACTCTATGTTATATATATATATATATATATATATATTAAGTTTAATAACTTGGGTATATTAAAGAATTAATGGGAAAGATTAATTAATTATTCCTCGAATTTCATTACACGATAAGAGAAGAAAATGAACAAGAAGATCCATATGATGTGGTTATCAACCTGTCCATGCAAGAAAAACATCAAATACATACCATAATCAAGATCCATGGTAACAGAAAACCTACGAACTCACTCTCTTATTACGATGTTTCACTCCTCACTGCAAAACTAATTATCAAGAACCAAACCATGATTTGAGAATCAATTATTATACTATAACATAATATATATATATATATATATATATATATATATGGTCTAGTTTGTAATCAGAAATTTTATCTGATCAGCCGTGAACCATTCCATAAGATAGAGCCATGAGCAAAATGGCGGCTTCTTTCTCGTCCTGTGGGAAAACCTGCTGAAACGCCGAGCTCTTGCTCAGTATTATCGTCAAATCATCGAAACCGAATTTGCTCGACGACGAAGATGAAGACGATGGCGAAGATTTGCTCTGAGATTCTGAGGCATCTTCCACCGGCGAAGTAGCGATCTTGCTCTTCTTGGCCTTTGGCGGCGGCGGAGTGAATTGGTCTCGCGGTCTCTTGTTCTTGTTTTGCATCTTCTTCTTCGCCGACTCTCAAAAGAGGCCCAAATGTGACCCATTATTATGAATCATGACCGTTTATGTGTGTGTATATATAACGCCGCCCGCCTCGCTTTCCTCTGCCGTATTCCACATGCATTGCAAAGCGACTGAAATAATAAAATAAAAACAAATTTATTTTATTTATATCCTTTATGTGAATTGTTTTATTACGTACAGGAAGTATGTTATATATACATATATATATATATATATTCTATAAACCACTTGAACCAATGATCTGTTAGAACATGTGCAATAGAAACTTTTCGTAAGCTTAAGTTACACGATGAAAACCTGCTGTGTGTGTATATATATGTATATATGAAAAGATTTTGATCAAATATTGGGTGATTTACCTTTGGACCTCTTGGTCCACTTCTCCAGAGAGGAGTTTTGGTGGTATTGCAATCAGAGCAAACCCTAATCACGCCATTGTTGTTACCGTAATCATTGTCGTAGAGTGTAGTAGAGTGATTCTGGGAAATTCTCTTGTCGTGATCGTCTTCTTGGAGAGCTCGGTCCATGGGTTGTTTGTTGGTGACCATCTTCTTCACCAGCCTCATCTTCGAAGACATCCACTTGACGGTGGTTGTGGTGGTCGGCGACAAACAGCTCTGATCGGCTTTTGTCTGGTCCTGAAGCGGAAGAATATCGGTCCTCTCTTCTTTCTTCCTTATTGTCAGTTTCAGTCTTGTCTCCTTCTTTGGCACCATGTGATCGCATGATGATCCACCGTTAGACATCGGCATCTTCCCCTGAAAATCATATATCAAAGCTAAATCAATGATTATAAACATATGTTAACTCATACATACACATAGTGGTAATCAACTATCAAATATCAACGTTTATGACTTATGATACGAATTCAAGAGTTAGACTAAGATATGTATTGACTTAACATAATTTGGATGTGTGGATCAAACTTTGAAAATATATACCTCGAGGGGTTGGGGGAGATGATCATGATGATGATCACCATGGTATTTAGCAGTGTTGCTGTACTCAACATGCCCTTGCTGAGAGTTGATCAAGAAAGGAAGGTACGATGAGAGAGACGAAGATGAAGAAGAATCTTGATGTAGAGACGATCCAAGAGTGCAGAAAAAGGGTTGGTGGTTTTGATCTTCATTGAGATCTATATGGTAATGAAAATTTGAATTCATGGGGAGAGAGAGAGATACAAAGGAGAGAAGAGAGATTGAGAGATATCAGAGACGGCAAAAAGGGTCCAAGCTATACTATGTTAGATCCTTTTTAAAGAGCAAGAGACACGCGATCCGAGCACAATATATAGGTATATAATCAATAATATTTTTAAAATATATATGATTGATTTATATTATATATATATGGTTTATGTTTGTATATGATTATGTTTAAGAATGTATATAAACTCCCACGCGTACATCTTTTTTTTTTCCAAAAATAATATGTAATTTTTAATTGTATCGATGGCAAGGGAGATCATAGATAATTAATTGAAGATTTATTAATTTGTACGTATGTAATGGTCGTTATAAAAATGTCGCCGAAATCAGACTCAAAATAATTAATTTAGAGGTTCACGTGACTCCATGACACCCATACAAACAAGCATATGAGACAAAGATTGTGTATGTGGAATGGTAACGGACGACCCCATGCAGAGGAACCGTATCTGTAATTTAGAGAGAAACCCTAGTTCAAAAAATAAATTTCAAATGATAATAATAATAATATATCAACTTGGATCGATTAGAGCCACACAAACAAATATTGATAATGATCACATGTACATGATTCATTTAGAAAAAAACAATAACTGACATCGTCCTTTTTACTTAGTCTTTTCAAAAGTTAGGGTTTCATATATCTCAAGGTAACATATATATTATGAAAAGGGGGGGAAAGTAGAATTTTGGGTCTTGCATATTCGTCTCACACAACTTTTTTAACTTTTTTTTCTAAAAAATATATATACTGAATGAAAACTACATATATATATATATATACAGGAGATATGGATACAGTACTAATGTGTGAAAGATTATAATATATCCATATCTCCTATAATATATACGTATATATTATACCCATATCATTGTTTTCTTCCTTTTTCACCGTATGATCTGATTTAGAATTTTCTTTTTTGTAAAAATGTTTGGGCCTCGATATAAATTGAAGTAATCATGTAAAAAAAACATTAATACCAAAAGATAACATGGTGGCACTTAATTGCAATATTTCACAAGAACCGTCTCGATCGCAATTTATTCTTCAATGGTTAGACGACTTTGCAAAGATTTCTCGTTCGAAGGCGAGGAGAGTTGTTGGTTTTATAAGCAACAAATCAAATGATCGACCTGTAATCACAGACTAATTATTGATAGATCATAATTAGAGAAATTAAGAAAATATATATAAAAGATATTAATTGTTTGAGAGTATATAGAAACAAAAAGAGGAAAAAAAAGGAAGAGGGGGTCAGAGGGGATCATGAGTGATCTGTACAATCTGATCTGAAGCAAATGAATGCATTTGGCAATACTAAGGTGGGTGGGGATCCTTTCTTCCTCTGCCTTTCTATACCTATCCTTTGTCATCTCTCTCTCTCAAAATGATCCATGCTTCATATGCAGTGAAAATCAAATTCATATACATTTATATTCACCAAAAAAAGCCCATCAAATGGAATGATGATGATGATGATGATGATGATGACCATATATAACAATTCGAAATACTCGATGGCTAATCTCTTATTGTGATACAAAGCAGCTGGATGACCATATATATATGACTGAATGAAGAGTACACAGCATCTTTAATTTATATAGGTTTAAAAGGGTTACTGGATGGACAATTGAATTGTGACCGTTTGATTATGAATATGAGACGCTCATATACATGTATACATGCATACATATAGAGAGAGACCCGACATGCAGAGATCTAAATAAGTGTATAGGTCTACTAGGGTTTTGTTCTGCCAGAGACCAAAGACATCTCGCGAGTAGTTATCGATTGCTTACATATTGAGCGACCAAACAGCGGAACAGATCTCCCCTATGTTTGTTTTAGCACTTCTTTATTTTATATTTAATTTTTTCGATATTTTTCTATTCCATCACATTCTGTGTACTTTTGTAACTTAATAAACAATTTGAGTCTTAACTTAGATCCAAATCAGGCAATATATACATATATACACACACACACACACCTTGTCAATGTCATGTCTGTCAATATTCTTTTGGTGGAAATATAATCGTCAAACTAAATTTTGGATAAGATAGTGTATGATCAAATAAGCCGTATGGCCGGCACGGCATATAAGTTGACAGACAATAATGAAAATTCCGATAGCTTTGGTCCTTTTTCCATATTAGATCCCCCGAGATGTAAAAAGAGATAGATAATATATTATAAAATATCATATATATATATATATATATATATATATATATATAATATCCAAATGGGGTGCATGACTAATAAGATCACACATGACAACTTGTAATAACAGATGAGTATTTTTCTGAAGCAGACGCAATGGGCAATTTGGAACATAGGAAATCCAACTCGCATCGTAAATATTTTTCTTGTCCGTTTTCACGACATCATGATCGTATCTTGTTTTCCTTATATAATTTTTTTAAATAGATTAATTTCACCATGTCTAGACGCTTCTTTCGGGTTCATCACACTCATATAAAAACCATATGATATTTCATCAACGTTCGTATATGAACAAAAGTAACCATTTTATCTAATAAGCTTTATGTGTTTACATTATTGCTCGATTTGATTGTGAATTTGTGGAAAAATAAACCACAAATCCCATAGTAAATAAATAAAGTTAGGGTCGTTGTCAACTGCTGCCCATTGATGATAACGCCTAATCGTATCCGCTCAAGCATATCTAGGGGCAAACGAAATATTTACATAACGCAAAAAAAAAAAATCAAATTAAACGAAATAAGATATATATATATATATATATGTATAGAGAGAGAGAGAGAGAGATGGCATGGAAATTAAACGATAGAGAGATGGGCTACGTATGCGGCTTATGGATCACACCTGCGCAAGTTAACACTTTGGCAAAGCAACAGACAGAGATATACATACACGTATATGTATATATACATACGTAGGGGGTGTATGTATGTGTGGTTTTGTAGTGAAGTGATGATGTCATTTTTCGTGTCAGTACAGTTGAGGTTATGTCCAACATTTTGGTACTTTTCATGACTCGTCTTTTTTTTGTTTCTTCCCCATAAAATTTCCCAAAGGGACCATTCTCTCTCTCTCTCTCTCTCTCTCTCTCTCTCTCTCTCTCTCTCTCTCTCTCTCTCTCGCTGAGATCTTCGCCACCACCGTAACGTCTTTGACAGCTTGATTTGTGTGATGTGAAGCCTCTCCTCGTTTTATCATATAATGCGTCATTTATTATCAAAATAATCATTATACTTCATTTAATTTGATCATCCACATTAAATTTTTCAAGAAAAAAAAATATAGGAAATAAGGTGTTGTGCCTTCAAAAATAAACAAAATTTTCCCAAAAAAAAAAATAAAGTGTTGTGCCTTCAAAAATAAACAAAATTTTCCGGTAAACCAAAACTAATTAGGATTACGGTGAAGTTGTTTCAACTTAAATTAATATAAAGCACAAGAGAATTGTGTGCTTATTTTTTTTTTATTTTAAAAAAAATCAGTTTCACTTATCTTTATTTAAGGCTATATCGGTACACAATTGCTTTTTAATTAAAATTTTCAAGTTTTATTACAGATTTCTCCACCGCGTTTCATTGATAAAAATCACATAAAAATAGATCGTTTATACGAGTACGGCTACGTATGTTTTGATTTTCACAATATAATTAGAGAGATGAATTATGATTTTGATTGGCAGTGTAAATCCAATTTAAGAGATTATAGATATCATGAAATTAAAAAAAATATTTTCTGAGCAAATACAAAAATATTTTTTGATATATAGAATAGTAAAATAAATCTATATATACATATGTATTGGAAAATATGAAGAGATTCAGTTTGTATAAAATTTAGATATTAATGTGTTTCTTATTTAGATTTGATTTATATATTCTTATCATTAAGATAAGAATTTAAAAAAAAAAACCACGCCCATTACAATATATGTTTTTGTTGGTGTTACTTTCACATGGTGATGCGAGAAAAGATCAACCCATATCTTTCTCTAAAAGCAATAACGCACCGTTTTAACCTCCGTAAACCAAACTGCGTGCCGTTTAAATTGCAGGCTTTAGTTCAATGTACTTTTAAGCGGGATGAGATGGGCTTGTAAAAAGCTCGTTGCATTGAAATGGAATACATACTATAAGTTTTAGTTTTTTTTTTCAAATTTATTCTATGATAAATTAAGATGATACATAAATGTTTCCATTAATTCCGTCAGTGTGTATAATGTGTGTGATGTGAAGTCTTTCTTCGTTTTATTATATATATAATGTGTCATTTATTATATCACAAATTATTATACTTCAATGAATTTAATTATTGGATTTTTTTTCTTGGAAAAGAAGAATTAAACGAAAGATTAAAATAAAAAAAATATTACACTTCAAAAATATGTTGCTCACAACCTTTTTTTTTTCCTACATGATCGTTTCTAAATTGAATAGAGAGAAATATTTAAAAATATAAACAGAAATAGCGTTAGCGTTTACAAATAAAGTTAATGGGCCTATCCAGGCCCATCTTAATATATGTATTTGTTGATTGTTAGGGTGATGCAGAAAAGGCCCATATGCTTCTCAACGACAACTACTCACCTTTTTAACCCAAGGATACCAAACTGCGTGCCGTTTAACTTACAGGCCTTAGTTTAGTGTACTCTAGGCGGGACGAGATGGGCTTGAACAAAGCCCAACTAAGCTACAGAGTGATGTCAGACTCATATATCTAATTACACGCGCACAATTAGCGCGTGAGAGTCACCGCCGCGAATTCGCCGGACTATAACCCAGCGATTTTTGCGTTTTTTAGAAAAATAAAAAATACGGCGCGTGGATTAATATTTGGTCTTTTGGTTGGTCTATATTACCCACCGACTTTTTTTTTTCTTTTTGTCAACCAGCGGCTAATTTTATTTTCAAAACTTGAGAACATAATATAAAATTCATTGTTTTACTACAAAAAAAAAATTATTATGATTTGAAAATCCGCTTTTGTCCATTAGGCATACATTATAAATATTTATAATTTGAAAGAATGTTTTAAAACAAATAAA